CTACACCCATCTGCATTCCCACCAACAGTGCACAAGGGCTCCCTTTTCTCCACACCCTTGCCAACAGTTGTTGTTGGTTGGTTGATTGATAAGAGCCTTTCTGACCAATGTGAGGTGATATCTCATGGTGGCTTTCATTTGCATTTCTCTAATGGTTAATGATGTTGAGCATCTTTTCATATGTCTCTTGGCAGTCTGTATGTCCTCTTTGGAAAAGTGTGTATTCAGGTCCTTTGCCCATTTTTTAATTGTATTGTTTTCTTGTTTGGTGTTGAGTTTTATAAGTTCTTTATGAATTTTGGATATTAAGTCCTTATCAAATATATCGGCAAATACGTTCTCCCATTCAGTGGGTTGTCTTTTCATTTTGTTGATTTCCTTTGCTGGGCAAAAACTTTTTTTAATTTGATGTAGTCCCACTTGTCTATTTTTTTCTTTTATTCCATTGCCCAAACAGAGATATCAGGAAAAAAATTGTTACAAGAAATGTCAAAAAATTTACTATCTTTTCTTCTTGGATTTTTATCATTTCTAGCCTCCTAACATTTAAGTCTTTATTCCATTTTGATTTTATTCTTGTGTATGGCGTAGGAAGGTGGTCTAGTTTTATTCTTTTGCATGACTCTGTCCAGTTTTCCCAACTCCATTTATTAAATAGACTATGTTTATCCCATTGTATGTTTTTGCCTCTTTTGTCAAATATTGACAATAAAGGCGTGGGTTTATTTCTGGGCTCTCTATTCTGTTCCATTGATCTATAAGTCTGCTTTTACACCAGTACCATGCCATTTGGATTACTATGGCCTTGCAGTATAGTTTGATATTAGGTAGTGTGATTCTCCCAACTTTGTTGTTCTTTCTTCAATTTGCTGTTGCTATTTGGGTCTTTTGTGGTTCCGTTTAAGTTTTTGGTGTAGTTCTGTGAAATACACCATTGGTATCTTGATAGGAATTGCGTTGAATCTGTAGATTGCTTTGTGTAGTGTGGACATTTTAATGATTTTCATTCTTCCTGTCCATGAGCACAGTAGAGCTTCCACTTATTTGTATTTTGTTCAGTTTTTTTCTTCAGTGTCTTCTAGTTTTCCAAGTACAAGTCTTTTACATCCTTGGTTAAATTTATTCTTAGGTATTTTATTCTTTTTGAAGCAACTGTGAATAGGATTGTTTTCTTAGTTTCCCTTTGATAGTTCATTATTAGTGTATAAAAATGCAACTGAATTATAGATATTTATTTTGTAGACTCTATTTTACTGGATTCATTTATCAGTTCTAGTAGGGTTTTGGTGGAATGTTTAGGGTTCTCTATATACGGTATCGTGTCATCTGCAAATCATGACAGTGTTAACTCTTCCTTTCCAATTTGCATGCCTTTTATTTCTTCTTCTTGTCTAATTGCTGTGGATAGGACTTCCAGTACTCTGTTGAATAAGAGGGTGAAAGCAGATATCTCTGTGTTGTTCCCAGTCTTAAGGGGAACACTTGTAATTTTTTCCCATTGTGTATGCTGTTGGCTATGGGTTTTTCATTTATGGCCTTTATTATGTTGAGATATGATCCCTCTATTCCCAGTTTGTTGAGAGTTTTTATCAAAAATGGGTGCTGGATTTTATCAAATAGTTTTTCTGCATCTATTAATATGATGGTGTGGTTTTTATCCTTTCTTTTGTTTACGTGGAGTATCATGTTTACTGATTTGTGGATATTGTACCAACTTTGCACACCCGGAATAAATCCCACTTGATGATGGTATATGATCTTTCCAATGTATTTGCTGAACTCAGTTTGGTAATGTTTTTTCAGGATTTTAGAATCTATGTTCATCAAGCATATTGGCCTCTAATTTTCTCTTTTTGTATTGTTTTTGTCAGGTATTGGAATTAGGATAATGCTGGCCTCATAAAAAGAGGTTGGGCCTGGCCAGGCATGGCTCACTGATTGAGTGTCAGCCTATAAACCAGGAGGTCATGGTTCCATTCCCAGTCAGGGCACATGCCCAGGTTGTCAGCTGATCTCCAGCAGGGGCCGTGCAGGAGGCAGCCAATCAGTGACTCTCTCATCATTGATGTTTCAATCTCTCTCACCCTTCTGCTCTCCAAAATCAAGAAAAACATTTTCTTGAAGAGAGGTTGGGAGTCTTCCCTCCTCTTGAATTTTTTGGAAGAGTTGGAAAAGGATAGGTGTTACTTCTTTTCTGAATGTTTGGTAAAATTCACCTGTGAAGCCATCTGGTCCAGGACTTTGCTTTGTTGGAAGTTTTTTTGTTATTATTATTACTGCTTCAGTTCCACTAGTTGTAATCTGTCTATTCAGACTGATTCTGCCTCATGTAGTTTTGGAAAGTTGTATGTTTCTAGGAATTTACCTGTTTCATCCAGATTGTCCAATACGTTGAAATACAGTTGTTCCTATTTTCTACAATTCTTTGTATTTCTTTGGTGTTAGTTGTTACTTCCCTTCTTTCATTTTTGATTCTATTTATTTGGGTCCTCTCTCTCTTTTTTTTCTTGATGAGTCTAGTTAAAGGTTTGTCAATCTTGTTTATCTTTTCAAAGAACCAGCTTTTGGTTTCATTGATCTCTAGTATGGTTTTTAGAGACTATTTTGTTTATTTCTGCTCTGATCTTTACTATTTCCTTCCTTCTACTCACTTTGGGCTTTGTTTGTTGCACTTTGTCAAGTTTCTTTAAGTTTAAAATTAGATTTTTTAATTTGTGCTCTTTCTTTTTTCTTGAGATAGGCCTGTTACGGTATGAATTTCCCTCTTAGGACTGCTTTTTGTGTCCCAAAGATTTGGGGTTGTTTTGTTCTCATTTTCATTTGTTTCAAGGTATCTTTTTGTCTTCCTTGATCTCATTGTTAACTCAGAAATTGTTTGGTAACATGTTATTTAGTGCGCGGCCTCCCCTGCCCTGCACGCCTGACTCGGGCAGCTCCGCAGCTTCTGCACAAGTGAAGCCTGCCTGGCCCAGTTCCTTTCCATTCTTTGTGTCTTTATTTGCAGCACGGTGGTCGAAACCTATTCCCAACATGTCTGACAACTTTTACTTTTTATTAGAGGAGTTGGTCAGTTTATAAAATTGACTGTGGTTGCTGATAAACTTGTATTTTCTTTATTTTCTTAATATGTGCTTCCTACTTGTGCGTATCTTTCTACACCCTTCTTCCCTCTTTTACCCTTTATTGGTAAGAGTTTTACTGCTGTTTTTTTAAAATTCTATTTATTCCCTTATTTTAAAGTTGCGTTTATGTACATTCTTTTAACAGTTAAGCTAAGTTTAGCAACATGTATATTCGATAGTCTAAACCTAACACCTGAACATTACAGAAAGCTTCCACCTCTCTTTTTTGGCTGTCACATCCCTCTAGTCTTACATGACATTTCCCCTTCATCTGACAATTTGATACCGATTTTAACCTCAAATTAGGAATTAGCTGATTTTTAGTGAATCCGTGTTTGTTCACACATACTTGCATACCACTCAGCATCCTTTCTTTCTCCATGTTTTCTTGAATCTCCGACCTTCCCTCTGGGGTCACTTTCTCTCTGCTGACAGCACATTCTTCAGAACATCTTTTCTCAGCTGTGTTCCGAGAGACTGAAGCTGCAGTGTTCCCTCAGGCACCCACGCTCTGTGCTCTGTAACGAGTTGACCTCCCTAAAGTGCAGCTAGAACGACACAACAAGAAACTAATCCCTGGAAACATTTCCTGTGAGCTTTAATTCTCCCATGGAACCCAGTTGAGAATGGCTGCTTCAGAATTTCCTTTGGCGTGTGGGTCTTTTGATAGTAAAATCTCTCAGCCTTTGCTTGTCTGAAAGGTCTGTATTTTGTTTTGCTTTTCCTGAAAGGGACTTTTGCTGGGTAAAAGGCCGTGAGCATTTTTCCCTAAGCACACTGGAAGGCTATCTACTGGACAGTAAGCTTGCATTCTTATTTGGAAAAGGTTGACACAGCTATGGAGCTTAAGTGTAACAAATAAGATGTGAATCAGAGAGACATGTATTCAAACACCTTTTTAAACTTTGTGGGGGTTTTTCTCTCTCATCTACAAAATAGATAGATACGTTGCATGGCTGTTACGTTTAGAAATGATGTAAATATTGCATCTGAAATATAACGCATTCTCATGATCTTCACGATTATTCCTTCTGGTTTTCTCTATTAGGCTACAGTTTATCCATAGATTTCGTGGGTTTCAGTCTAGAGCCCTGGAGAGTAAAGTTTTGTGTAGGAATTGTGTAGGTACATGATAAACCTCTCATTCGGCAAACGAGCCATTCAGATCAGTGCAGGAGACAGTCCGACTCCTCCGTCATCCCAAACAAGAAGGTTTCTTCCTCCTGTTGGGCATCAGATTATTTGCTACGTTTCTTGAAGCTTTTAGGCACTATTTCTAACAAGGTCATAACATTTTGTTATAGTGCACTGGTTTGAATTTAGGCCAAATGCTGTATTTCGATTATAAGAATGTGATTCGTTTTCAAAGGTGTCATTTGAAAGAATTGGTTGGGTTGCTCATGCACATGTGTCTCATCTCACTACTATCTGTCCACTACCAGGTCGCTGGGGAGCAAGGAGACACAGAGTGCTCCCTGCCAGGCTTTGCTGGCGTACAAGTCAAAACCAAACAACCAAATATCTGTCGCTCGTCTGATTGGATGTCATGCACTATGTCACCTTCCAGAGACATCCCTGCAGGGAAGTGCTGAAGGCACCATTCACTCCCCCGGCATTCCCCCTCCTACACACACACACACACACACACACACACACACACACACACCAGGAATTTGCTAATGAGCATATAAAACACTCTGGCATGGAGAGATCAGTAATTCTTATCCTCTCAGGCCAGAGACCCTTCACTTCCAACTAAGTATGAAGAAGCAGAAATACAGCGTTTTTACTTTATTCATATCTGCCTAAAGGCACATTTAATCAGAGATAAGAACCTGTTAAGGATTAAGCTTTAACTACATAAGTTAGTCGTTGAAGATTTGAAGACTTTTTAAGGCCTACAAATAGGCAGCATCTGATTATACTACAATATATATAACAATTTCCCTATTGAGTATTATTTTCACATATTTGCTATTGCAGACAACAGTGTGTTTGATATTCTAGACATCCCTCTTCCTCCTGACAAACTGCCTGTAGACGAACTCCAACAATCCACAAAGAACGTTACAACACCGTCTTAAAGCTTGGGTACATGCGTACTTTCGATGTATGAACCACTGTTGCTTAATTCAAACACAATGATCTAGGAAGAAAAGAAAGGCCAACGGTGAGAAAGGGGGAGCCTGTTCATCACAGGGTGAGAAAGACACAGGGATTTGCAACCTGGGGGTGAAGGCAGATCTGAGTATTTTCGAGACGTAAAGGGAGGGGTGGCGGTGACTCACCTCATTGTCATCTGGATGAAGCCAGGCACCAGGAAGGTAAAGTGTTTTCTGTGGTCCAACAAACCAATATCGCCCAAGGTTACGTCCATTGATAAACACACATCCGTGAGTCCATTTCTGGAAGGGATGGGGGCTTGAACATGGGGAAAGATTCACACTGCCAACGTCAAATGTAAGGCACTTGGGGAGTGAGCACAAGACTGAGATGCTCCGTGGCACTGAAAGTCAGTTTGCAATGGGATGCGTTCTAGAGGTTTCACCTGCTGTACTGGTCTAAGGACCCAACATTTTAATGCTAATTTTACTATTGTTCCTGCCCTATGATATATAATGCTATACATTTTTTAAAAGTAGGTGTTCTGCTTCCAGATAGAAGTACTTGGTAACAGAGATGAACACCACTGCTGACAACAGCAAAGAAAGCTACACAATTTTTTAATCTGTTTGCAATACAATTATAGTACCAAAATCTAGAAGAAAACTGAGAAGACGACGTGGAAGCAGATGCATGCGCCAGTGCTTCCCACTAGAGGATCTGCTTGTTCAGAAAGAGGTGGCCGAGAGGCTGGGCAGAAACTTCAGAGCCTCACAAGTGTAGAGGAACCAAAAGTGCAAAGTGGAAACAGGGAACCTTATTAAGTAATATACACTCTGGGTTAGGAGTCTGGGGGCGAAAACCCTAGGAGAAGAGTAAACTAGAAGTAGTGCAGTCCCTGCATGGAAGCCTGGATTCACATCATTTCCGTCTTTGTAACTGTCGTAGGTCTAGTGTCCCTAGTCACCCCCAGACCTGGGGATCAATCTTCTGACATCATCTTAGGCCTTGAATTATTTCTAGCATTCCTCATCATGCCTGACACTCACCGAAAACATAAGCAGATGGGGAGGGAGGCAATATACCAAAAATGAAAAAGACCAACACGATGAAAGCAGATGCACAGAAGATGCCGAGAGCGGGTTTGTAAGAATCACAGGCTTGGAAATAACTGTCTAAGAAAGCAGGTCCAGAGAGATAAACGAGAAGACTTAGAATGTGACAGAGAAGTGGAGGCTATAAAAAAGGCTGGGGGTTATTATCCAGGAGACAAGTACTAACGTGTTGGACAGGCTGTGGAGAAAAGAGACCCTCGTTCACTGCTGGTGCGAATGCCAACTGGCGCCGCCACTATGGAAACAGTAAGGAGGCCCCTCAAAAATTACGACTAGAGCTGCCATAGGAGCCAGCAGCCCCTCTTCTGGGTCCGCCTGAAAAGCTTGGGAACGTTCATTTGGGAAGATACACGTAGCTTTGTGTTCATTGCAGCACTATTCAGGGGGGCCATCGACGGAAACGTGGGGGTCCCCCGATGAGGGGTTAGCGAACCATGGGGATCGTTCCTCAGCCACTGAAAAGAGGAAATGCTGCCGCTTCCAAAGCACCGCTGGATCTCGAGAACCTCGTGCTGAGCGAAACCAGGCAGGTGACAGGACAGGGCTCCCACGCTTTCACTCGCGTGTGGGCGACAAAGCAGAGCAGGAGCCACACGAAACAAACGAGCCGCCCACAAAGCCTCCTGGACACGGGAGCAGCACGGTGGCTGCCGCGGGGGGGTGGGGGCGAAGGAGAAAGGGAGTCAACCCCACGGCCACGGGAAACACGGGCCTCAGGGCGGCGCGGGCACCGGGAGCACACGGGGGATGCACCATAATGCGTACACGTGCAACTCGCAGAATCCTATTAACCAATGTCACCCAAGAAATTTAACATACGATTTTGCAAATAAAAAAGGCTGTGATTATAGAGTAAAAATCTGTAACGACAAAAATGTAATAATAAAAATTAAGAATTTAGCAGATGTTTTGAATAGCAGATTAGGTAAACTAAATAGAGAATACAGCTAAATAGAGAATTAGTCAGCTGAATATTAAGAAAAAAGAAATCTTCCAAAATAAAGCTCAGAGCGGAAAAAATGAGAAAAACCCATAAGACAAAAGATAGAGATGAGAGCGTTATAGGAAAATGGTCTCACATATGAAATTCGAGTCTCTGTAATACTTCCGTTTAAAAGACAAAAATTGCAAGACTAGATCTTAAATAAAGCAATTATGTGCTATGTATAATAAAATAATCTAAACTATAAAGACACTCAAAAATAAAACAATTGAAAAGATTTAATAGGTAAACTTTAAGCAAAAGGAAGTGGCTATAGCTCTATAAACATCAGAAAAATTTGTCTATAAGGCACCAAGCATTACTAGCAACAAACACTTCCTGATAAAATTTTATATGAATATACATCAAATATAGAGAAGCTAACAGTATAGATTTGAAATAGGATATGAGCAACATTGATGGTATAACAGGAGAAATAAAATTCACAGCCACAAGTATTCTTGCCAGGGACATTATGGCTTTGACTCAAGACTCTCTAAGAAAGAACAGGTGTAACAAAAGAAAAAAAAACAAAATAACTTCAAAAAGAAAGAATGGGTGTTTGAGAGACCAGAGAGAAGAGGGCACTCGCTTACCGGCAGGCTCAGGAAGGTGTCCTTGGGAGAAGAGCCGGCCTTCAAGGTACCAAGATAGAAGGCAGGGCCTGAGTGGTTGCTTTGGACAGGCTTCCAAGGGGCAGTGCGGAGCCTGGAAAAAGGGCCCTGCCTGAGGGAGAGGAAGGCCCTTCTCCAACTCCAGTCCCACTGCTGACCCCAGGTCTCCCCTGCAGGGACTCAGATTCTGCTTCAGAGGGACATGTCAGACTAGGGTCAGTCAAGTTATAAACGGGAGACGTGTTCTGGGCTTCCAGTCCTGATTCCTAAGACTCTATAATCCTGAGTAGGTCACTTCAATTCTCTGAATCTCGGGCCCTTCATCTGCAAAGTAGAGTTTGAAATCTGAGTTCCCTGCTCCCTCCAAGTGTCTACTGGGAGTAAGTGGGAACATACCTCTCAAAGAAGCTCATTTTCATTTCCAGAGAATAGATAGTGAAATGCTGCAGGGGAGTGTTATTGATGGTGACAGATCCAATTAATCCTGCAGGTAAGCGGTAGGAAAGAGATACGGTTAGGCACTGGGTAGACTCAGTGTCAGGGACAAAGAAATGTGGGCTGTACATGCCTTGTGACAAGGGGTCAGCCATTAGGGCGAACGCTTATCTGACTTGCTGGGACTCAAGGTTTCTGTATGTTTTCACACTACAGAGGAAGTTCCCCCTCTGAATATCAGAGCTTTCCTGAAATTCCCTAAAGGAGCCTAGATCCTGTCGAGGACAGGCCGGCACCGACACAGCTGCCCCCTTCCCTGCTCCGGAGCCGAGGGGCAGGGCAGGAAAGCGGGAAGGACGCTGCCCCTTTGGTCCTGCCCTCAGCCACCCACCGCCTAAGGGCCTCGCTTTTTCCTCCCAGCTCCGACGTAGCCCCAGGCCTGGGGTCCATGATGAGGAATTTCAGCCCATTCCTCAGGCCTAGAGCCCACCTTTTTGCTGGTCTTGAATTTTCCGGGAAAAATTCACTCGTCCTTGATTTTCCACCAGGATCCTCAGGAGCTGGCATTCCTGTTTGGGACAGACCAGTTCATGGAACCTACGGTCAGGCAGGGGGGTTACTCTAGAACCCACCTTTTCCTCGGAGACCCAGCTGGAAAGGAAGCCAGTGGGAGACAAGGAAGCCCCTGAGCCCAGCGTCCTCCCGCCTCAAGGACCCTGTTGTGGCTGCTCCACACTCAGCCTCTCCCTCCCCTGCTGGTCCGCCTCAGGAAGGGCAGAGGCCAGCGGTGCCTGGAACAGAGACCCCACCCGAGGCTGATGGCTGACTTGGCCCTAAGGGGAAATACCGTTCACACCGAAGCGTGTATTCCACCGCAGCCCCTGGTGTATCTGGGCCTGCGAGGGGCAGTCACGCACATAGTTCTAAAGAAACACTCCCCCTGGGACCCTGAGTGACAAGCAATACAAAGGGGCCCTAGCGGAGAGCAGAGGCAGGCCATCTCAGAGCCAGGTTGTGTTAGCATTTGAGTTGGAGGTCTAGCAGCAGACTCTTGGATTACATACCTTGACTTTAGGAACGTGTAAGTTGTCATTACTATAACCCAGAGTTCCTATCCTTGTCTCCCCCAAAAACACCTGCAAAAGGAAGAGCTGGTGTCAGGCGGGTTGGCCTGCCTGAGGAAAGAGGGAGGGGAGGCTGCAGTGGAGGGAGGGGTCACTACAAAGCAAGGGACCAGCCTGGGTGCTCACAGATGGCTGGAAGCTGGCAGGGAGGCCCCAGTGGACTTAGGTTGTGATAAAACAGAAAACAAGTCTCTTTGGTTTGACTTATATTTTCAATGCCTCGCACTTAGCAGCGGCTTAAACACACTATCGAACAGTAAAGTTGACCGTGACTCCCCACCCTCCCCATAGCAGAGTTAGGCTGAATGCTCTGCTTACCTCCATAGACAGCCTGCGGGCCTTACCTGTGCGTCGTCTTCAACGTGAGCATGGAGAAAACCTCCAGAGCAGATCTCAGTCTGATAAAGCACGAATCCATAGGACTGACCACTTCCATTATTTATCAGAAGATTCTCCATGTTGACTGATTGATAAGATATGACGGGCTGTGAGAGAGATATGACAGAACCAGGAGCCAGGGTGCTGATAAGTCAGAGTCCTTCCTCCTAAGACTTTTGCCTTTTGTGTTTTACCTCCTACTGATGATCCCCAAAGCTTTTTGCATGAGAAATGCTAAAACAGATGCTATGTGACAACTCTCTCGTGGGAGTGGGTGGTGAGGGAGCAATTACTCTAATCATGAGAATTAACAGAGTAAAAAGCTGTGTTCTAACATAACTGAGGTCGAGTAAAGAATTATACACTAAACAAACATTTATTTAGCATCTACAATGTGTTGGGCACTTCTTTTTACCTAAAATGGTGACAGAAGAGGTAAAGTCAACATGAATTCAAGAGTTGACAGTTTTCAAAGAATTTCCACCTTTTCTTTAAAATAGGGCAGGTAGCCGAATTTTAAAGGGAGAGCGGGGACCTGTAGAATTTCCAGTTTGGCCTAGTGGATGGTGAATGAGTCGGGAACTCAGTTTCATGCTCCCTGGCTCCGAGCCTTTCCCATACGATCATGCAGACCCCACAAGAGCATCCCACCTGGAGGGTTCATCTGAGCTGGGAAATAGGATCTTCTCATATTCTGCCCCTCCCCCCACCCCACTCATTCAAGGTCAAGCCCCTTCACAGTCCACTAAGAAGGAGCTTGTGGGTCTTATCCCATAGTTCTAAATTGGGGGGAAAAGCAGAGAATGCGTTTTAGCACGTCCAATAAAGAGCCGTGAAAGAATCTCTACTCTGTGGCCTCAGGCTCTTCCCCCATCCCGGTGCCCAGGAGTACTCACCTCACTTACGTACCGTAGGACATCCCACAGTGGCAAGAACAGGGATGGTCGAATACGAGGATACACAGCCTTCGGAGTGGGCTTGGGTAAGGGGGGCAGGGGAAATGCTGCAATGAAAATGGGCCAGGGGGCAAGAGCCTGAGCCGACTCCTGCCTTCTCCAAGCCTCCCACCCCTATGCATGAGCTCTCATGTCCCAGGGCCAGCGAGAGAAAGGGGTCCTGTCCTGGCACATGGCTGTACTTCCCCAGAGGGATGAAACTGCTGAGAGCTAAGCTGCAGCCGTTCTGTACGCACAGAGCTGACAGACAGACCCTGAAGGGCAGTGTCGCTCCAACAGACTGAAGGCTCTTTGGGAACAAGGCCTCTGCCTCACGCCTGTTGGCAATGCCAGTGTTCACCTACTTTCTAGCACATAGTAGATGGTTAATTAACTTTATTTAAAGAAATAAAATGAAATAGAATGATTTTTGCTATTGTGTGTAAGGGTGTTATGTTATACATCATATTAAGAGCTTCACAAATAGTAACTTTCACAGTCATTGTAGGAGACGAGCGTCACTGTCTTCACGTTTCAGGGAAGGAACTGAGGCTTAAAGGGCTTAAAGACGTTCCTGCAAAACCACACAACTTTTATGTGGGAAAAGCCTGGTCTCCACTTGAGTTGCCCGGCTCTGAAGCGCTTCACTGCACTTCTGCCCACAGAGGAAACCCTTCCCTTTCCGCTCCCTGCCAACACCTGAGGAGGGCCCGCTCTCAAGCGAAAAGGGTTGCTGAGTACCTAAGACGGACCCAAGGAGTTTTCGAAGCTTGAAATACTTCTCTGTGTAATCCCCGGCCTCCGTCAGCACAGCGTCATAGTCTGCAAGACACCAGGGCACTGTCACTGGCAGGCAACCCTGCACAGCAGGCCCTGTCTCAGCGCTTCTGGCATGAGATGGGCCAGAGCCACCAGAGGGAGACAGGAGACACATTGTCCCCACCCCTGGCCCAGTTGATCCCAGGCTAGGCTGTGGGGGACTGATGCCAATATAGGAGCACTCCCCTCAACCCTTCCTGGGAGCTGAGGCTGCTGTGACACTGGGCTCACCCTCTGTCTCACTTTCTAGTGGACACTCTCTTGTTCCTTCATCTAGTTGCCCAGCTGTGCCTATCGATGCCCCTACAGCAACCACCATTAGTAACCCCTCTCTCTCGGAAGGTTCAAGTCAAGGGGTTCGTGTACATGGTGAGGGGAGCAGAACTTTAGGCCATGGGCAGCCCCACCTGCTGCAATCACCGCCAGTCAAATCGGTAGAAAACCCTCAATACTCAGCATAGATTATAGGCAAGAGCCCAGTGATGCCGGAATGTTTTCAGAGCCTCTGGTAAGTTCCAGCACCACCTCTGCTGGGAGGGGAGCAGGTCCGCGATCACTTGCCATAGCTAGTGACAACACTTTTGTGCGTCCCAAAATTTGTGGCCCCATTTATGAAACCGAAGTTGGTTCCACCATGGAACATATACACGTTGAAGGAGATCTTAAATCTGATGAATTTAGACACAGTCGTTTCAACATCTGTAGAGGAGAAATATAAGAAAGTAGAGAAAATTAAAACCACTAATTTCAAAAGATATATGCACCCCTGTCATTGCAGCAGCATTTACCACAGACAAGATATGGAAACAACCTAAGAATGGTCATCAAGACGATGGAAAAAAGAAGAAGTGATGCGTATACGCAATGGAATATTACTCAGCCATAAAAAAGAATGAAATCTCACCATCAGCGACATATGGATGGCCCAAGAGGGTCTTATACTCAGCGACATAAGTCAGACAGAGGAAGACAAATACCATAGGATTTTACTTATATGTGGACTCTAAAGAAGAAAATAAAGGAACAAACAAAACAAAAACAGACTCATAGATATAGAGAACAGGCTGATGGTTGCCAGATGGGAGGGGGGTTAGGGAACTGAGTGAAAAAGGTGAAGGGATTAAGAAGGATAAATGACTAGTTACAAAACAGTCCCGGGGATGTAGAGTACAGCACAGGGAATACCGTCAATAATGTTGTAATAACTATATACGGTGCCAGGTGGGGACTGGATTTATCAGGGGGATCACTTCATAAGTTACATAAATGTCTAACCACTGTGCTGTACACCTGAAACTAATACACAATAATATTGGGGGTCAAAACAAATAAACATTTTATATCACTAATAAAAAAAATTAAGCCTGGCCGGGCGTGGCTCAGCGGTTGAGCATCGACCTAGGATCCAGGCCACCGGGTTCGATTCCTGGTCAGGGCACATGCCCGGGTTGCGGGCTCGATCCCCAGTCGGGGGCGTGCAGGAGGGAGCCGATCAATGACTCTCATCAGTGATGTTTCTATCTCTCTCTCCCTCTCCCTTCCACTCTCTGAAATCAATAAAGATATTTTTTTTTAATGAAATTTAAAAAAAAAAAATTAAGAGAAGACAGAAGTCACTGGTGAAATTTTATCATTCTCAGTCCCACTCCCTAATCCATTCAATTGTTTTGTCCTTCAACTCCGCTAAGACTCTAACCAGAAAATAGGCAGGATGGGCCAGAACTACCCCAGCAAGCACGTCTTCTTTCCTAGAGCCTTTATAAAAAGTTAATTTTCTCAGAGTATGGACATAACTGGGCTCCTAACTATATATATTAGATAATAGCCTAAGAACCCTTATGTCACTTAAATAGCTAATGTTCATTATGTTCTCTGAAGTTGTATAAATAATTAGCATCCCCTTATTACTACCTCCTAGGGAAATATCTCTGGGGACCCTGGTTTAGATCCCCTTCAACAGTCCACAGTGGCTGCTCTGTCTTTAGCCACAGAAACTCTGGTTTGTCACCATGATTTAACAGGTATGAAGGTCCTTCCAGGGGCCGTAATGGAAGGCGGGGTGGTGCAAAGTCAGATGTGGTTCACCCCTGGCTGTGCCCTTCACTGTCTCTATGACCTTGAACGGCATATTGTTTTCTCTCACAGCCTCTTCTTCCATATTTGTTAAATGAAGGGCCACATTCCTACTAACTACATCATAGGACTGATGAGAGAATTAATTACTGAGAGAATATATGTAAGAAACACGTCATAGTGCCTGAGGTACAAGTGATCAGAGAGATGGTGTTTCCGGGCGGGAAGGGGGGATCTACTTTTCAGGCCAAAGCAGGCTTTTCTCAGTTGCTCGGTACAATTCCAGGGTTCTCTTTCCTTCAGGCACAAGGGAGCTTGTTTTCATAATAGCGATTGCAAAATATCTTTAGCCACAAAATACTTTCATGAACAACACCTGCCAGGCACTGATCTGAGGGTTTGCGTGGGTTGCTGCATTTATCCTCACAACAACCCTGTGAGACAAGTTGCATGACAGTCCCTGTTTGCAGATGATAACACACACTCAGAGGGAAGGAAAGCTGCCTGGTCATGTGGCTAGTGCTGCGGAGCTGGGATTGAAATCCTGCCCCTTTGGCTCCAGGGTCGCCCCTCTCAGCCATCGCGGCTGTCTTGTCCTGATGATTACGACCACGCATTCGGCGACTCCCTAGCAATGGCCTGCACACTTTCCAGAGATGGTTAAGACTTTTGGCAAATGCATCGCCTTCTTCAGAGACGTCATCTTTTCAGAGACCCTCTGTGACTCCCTTGATGCCCCTGCAGCTCTGTCCCTGTCTTTTCCATCGCTGCCTCCTCTGACTGATTCAAAGCATTTGTCAGATATTGATTGTTTTAATTATCTGTCAGATCCACTAAAGTACAAACTCCCTGGGAGTAGGAACCAGGTAATTTTTACTCTCCAGTACACCTTTGGGCCTAGCTATGTCCCTGTACGTAATATGTGTTGAATTAACAGTCCCGGTTGAATGAGCTGATTAACCAGCAGAGAAATGTGTGAATGACCTGTCACTCAGGGGGTCTCCATTTGATTCAGACACTGGGAAACACTTACGGTGGGCGTCTTTAACCATGTGTTTATCTCCCCATGTGTCGAACCAGCCGACCCAGAATTCCATAACCATAATGGGCATATTTGTCTAAAAACAAACCAAATAAAATACTGTCAGACAATAAGAAAACAAGTCAGAAAAACTGAATACAGCAGATGAGGAACTCATGCCTCTCACATTTTTCTGAGTCAGCCATGCTCCCCTCACCCATCACACCTCTGGTTTCTCCCCTCCTTCTCAACACCATGATCACCAGGCTCCTTCCAGCTTTTTTTTTTTTTTTAAATACATCTTTATTGATTTCAGAGAGAGGACAGGAGAGGGAGAGAGGGAGAGAGAGAGAGAGAAACATCAATGATGAGAGAGTCACTGATCAAGCTGGCAACCTGGGCAAGTGCCCTGACCGGGAATCGAACCCTGATCGCCTGAATCCTAGGTCGACGCTCAACCACTGAGCCACACCTGGCCGGGCTCCTTCCAGCTTTAAGTGCCTCCCTGCTCTACCTGGATAGCACCTTCTATAACTGCAACCTTGTCATATGCAAAGCTGGCACTGAAAGAATCCGCTTGGGATACACAAAGACCTGACTGCAAATCCCCACGGAGAAACTGAGGCTCAAAGGATACATTGTGGGTAAGTCCAGAGACACAACTCAAAGCCAGGTCTGAGCCAAACTATCAGCCACTGACTGATAGTGTCTATTAAGTACATCATTTAAAGGATTCAAAAATGGCAGAGTAGGTAGAAGTTACGCCCGCCTCCTCCCTGGAGCACATCAACATTACAACTAAATTACAGAAAAGTCAACCTGGATAACCAGCAGAAGACCAGCTGAATAGAAGTCTTATAATTAAGTATTTACAGAAGCCACATAGAGACTGGTAGGAGGGGCAGAGATGCAAAAAGGGCTGGCCTTGCACCCACGTGTGGCGGCTGAGGATCCAGAGGGATGACTCAGCTACAGAGATTCCCCCTGAGGGGTGAGGGGTCTCAACCCCATGCTGAGTTCCCCAGCCCAGGGCACCAGTGCTGGGAAGAGGACCCCATATAATACCAACTGTGAAAACCAGTGGGTGTTCCATCTGCCAGGTGAGATGGGAGTCTGCTAGGAGTCCTGGCATTCCCTTAAAGGACCAGCAAACAAAATCTCATTCATGGGCACTCACCCTGGGCTCCAGCAGAGGGACAGCAGCTCAGAGGGGACTGGAGTCATAAAGGGAGAGACTGAGTTGGGTGGCTATTAGGAGAGGGCTGGAAGGACAGCTGCAATTGTCCCTATATTGAGTCCCTCTTCCACATGGCCCACAGACACCTTCTTTCCTGCTCGAGCACTCCCCTCTGGCATCAGCCTGGTGAGCTACACTAGCCCTGCCCTGCCAAGCTCCCATAAGGCTCTGGGATCTGCTGCCAGCAGCCAGACTAGGCCTGCATTGCACTTTCCCTTGAAAAGCTATTCAAGGAATTCTGGGCAAGATCAGGGCACCCAGAGACCCACAAGCAGAGGCTGAGCTATGTGGTTTCAGTGCAAGGGATGTCTTCCCACACACCTGGCAGGTGCAACCATTCCCGGGCAGAGCTCTCCCTCCAGGAGACCAAATCTTAATCTATTTTAGCCTGATGAACTCTACTGGCTCCACCCTGATGACTGCCTAACACCCCGCCCCACTGCAAAGGCCCATAGGGCCCAGGCAAGAGGTGGCTGGCCTCAGGGTACCCTAACACTTCTCCTGATTAGCCTCAGACTCAGCACTGGTGCCAAGTTTGAACCTGTATCAACCTGGTGAACACCACTCACCCCTACCTGCTAGCTCATTATGAAATTGCCTCACAAAACTCATAGAACACCTGAGGCTCTTACAATAAGTCAGCCTAGCGGGCTACTGGCAGGCAGCAACGAATCTCGGGATATCTTGGGCCTTTTGCTGACCTGCCCCAGGCCTGCTGCTGGTGACAGATGAATTCAGTTGTCACTTTGCCCCTTCCGCAGGCACCCAGGCCCAGCACAGGCAGCTATCAATCATGGATCTTTCTGTAGCTCCAAACAGAGAGCCCAGGGCTGGTCACAGGCAACATCTAACATTGACTTGCATCAGAATCCCTCCCAAGAGGTCCCGGTACCAACACAGCTGCTGGCTGTCTTCAGACCACATCAGAGCATGACCCAGTTAGGGCCACAAATGGCACAAAAACGGGAGATCTTGCTGGGGCAAGTTGTACTTCTTGGGGTCAGTCCCCACGCAGCAGCTCATACACTGTGATCAGGGTCAGTCCTCCCAGTAAGCCAGCCTGAGGACCAACCCCACCAATAGATGGGCCAACAACAATCAAGACTCAATGACATGCCCCACACAGGACACACTCCTGGAATACTCAGATCAGATATTCAAGGAGACTGCACCACTCAGCCCCACAGGGCACTGACTGCATAAGGTCACCGTACCAACACTGGGAGACATAGCAGATCTACCTAATGCATAGAAACAAATACAGAGAGGCAGGCCCTGGCCAGTGTGGCTCAGTTGGTTGAGAGGTCACCAGTTCAATTCCCCATCAGGGCACATGCCTGGGTTGCGGGCTTGATCCTCAGTAGGGGGTGTGCAGGAGGCAAACGAGCAATGTTTCTCTCTCATCGATGTTTCTCTCTCTCCCTCCCTCACCCTTCCTCCCTCTCTCTAAAATAAATAAAAACATATTTTTAAAAAAGATTTAAACAAATACAGGGAGGCAGCCAAAATGGGGAGACAAAAGAACATGCCCCACATGAAAGAACAGGAGAAATCTCCAGAAAAAGAACTTAAATGAAATGGAGGCAAGGAACCCACCAGATACAGAGTTCAGGTCATAAGAATACTCAGGAGCCCTGATCAAGTGGGATTTATTCCGGGGATGCAGGGCTGGTATCATATCTGCACATCAATTAATGTGATCACCACATAAGCAAAATGAAGAATAAAAATCACATGAGCACATCAATAGATGCAGGAAAATCAGTCGACAAAACCCAGCACCCACTTATGATAAAAACTCTCAGCAAAGTGGGAATAAAGGGAACATACGTCAACATAATAAAGGCCAATATGACAGACCTACAACCAACACGGTGCTCAACTTGGAAGAACTAAAAGCGTTTCCCTTAAGATTGGGAACGAGTCAGGGATCTTTATTTGCACCACTCTTTGTTGTTATCAGCACCTGAGGGTATTTTTCCACTGCTCTTCAGAAAGAGTAGAAGGGGGTGGGGGAGAGAGATAGCGCTTGAGAAACATCAACGTGAGAGAAACACCTCGGCCGGTTGCCTCCCACATACACCCCCCACCCAGGGGGCGGGAAGCAAACCCGAAACCCAGGTACATGCCCTTGGCCAGGAATCAAACCCGTGACCCTTTGGTGCTCAGGCCTCCGCTCTAACCACTGAGCCACAAGGGCCAGGGCCATTTTCACCTCTCATTCAACAAAGTGCTGGAAGTCCTCGCCATAGCAATCAGACAAGAAGAGGAAATAAGAAGCATCCAAATTGAAAAGAAGGTAAAGCTGTCATTATTTGCAAATGACATGATACTATATAGAGAGAACCCTAAAGATTCCTCCAAAAACCTAGAACTGATAAATAAATTAGTAAAATAGCTGGATACAAAATTCAGAAAAATGGTTGCATTTTTATACACCAATAATGAACTTTCAGGAAAAACACTAAGGAAACAATCCCGCTTACAATTGCATCAAAAGAAATAAAATACCTAGGAATAAATTTAACCAAGGAAGTAAAATATCTGTACTCAGAAAATTATGACACTGAAGAAAGAAACTGAAGATACAAATAAATGGAAGCAAATACCATACTCATAGATAAGAAGAACTAACATCATTAAAATGTCCAAACTACCCAAATAAATCTATAGATTCAACACAATTCCTATCAAAATACCAAAGGTGTTTGTCACAGAACTAGAACAAATAATCCAGAACTTTGTACGGAGCTACAAAAAACCTGGGATGCGACAGCAATCTTGAAAAATCAGAAAACAAAGCGGGAGGTATTGCGCTACCTGATATCAAATTATACCACAAGGTCACAGTAATCAAAACAACATGGTACTGGCATAAAAACACATAGGTCCATGGCACAGAAAAGAGAGCTCAGAGGTAAATCCACCTTTGTTAAGTGAATTCACGCTCAGTACAGTCGTTCATTCCCACCATCTGCATAGCCTGGCTCAAAAAGGCTGGCCCACCGAAGCCAGGGCGGAGGCGTCTGTCAGCGAGACACACGGCCCATTGACGGGCTCTGTCCTCACAGAGGAAGACCATCTTCTCCCTCTGATTCACCTCGAGTCACCCTGTCTCCCTTCCTCCAGTCACCTGTCAGGTGCTTCACGAACAGAGGTGACAGAAGCAGAGTTTCTTCTTTATTCCCCACGACAAGAGACAGAAACTCCATGAATTGCTTTGGAACCCAGCTGAGACCCCAGGGGGAAGCCACAGGCTTTGTCAGGCCTCCGGTCCTCACTGAACACCAGGTGCACAGGTTGGGGGGGGCACGGCAGGCGAAGGGCTAAGACTTTTCATCTCTCAAATGGCCTTACCTGCATACTATGAAGGTTCTTCAAGGAATACTTCTGAAATGAGTTCATGTTGATGGTGGCCAGCACTGTAGAAAGAAGGGAGAGATGCTGTGTGAGGCACAGTGACAAGTGCTACCAGGGAAGGGACAGAGGCCCAGCCCTTGCACACGAAAGGCAGTTGTGCTGAGCAGTGAGGATAGTGAGAGGCTCCTTGTGTCCCTTGTTGAACATGCACAGGGCTGTCATTGGACATCTGCAAGGACAACGTTACCTAAGAAGGGCAGTTAAAATTAACCATATTTGTGTGGAGAAATGGAACAGGCCAAGGTCACACAACTTGGTCAGACCTGAGAACTGAGTGCAGGTTTCCTGATCCCAAGTCCGGCGCACTTTCCACTGCACCAGAATAATGTGGGGAAGAGCCACCGAAAAGGAGGTGAGAACAGCAGCCTATAGGAGCAGCGGTCTTGCACTGACAGATACCACCTGACAGATATTCCCCGGAGCCATCTGGCTGCTCACACCTGGGTCACTTCCCTCACTGTCATCACCTTATGGCATTGTTCTGAATTGTTCTGCTACTTTATTTTCTAGGACCCACTCAGAGTCCACAGTGCACCCCAGGCTGCAGGACCCCAGGGCTGGGTCCCTGCAGAGCCGGCTTCCTGACACAGCACCCATCTTCTGCTGCTCCGTGGGTTTCTCGATGCTGCTGGAGACAACTTCCATTCTAACCATGCCCAGCACCAATGCAGGCTCTCAGCCACAGAGAAATTATGAAAGGTGGAAATATTTCTACATAACACATAGACACACACAACAGCGTGGTGATGGCTGGAGGGAAAGGAGGGTGGGGGTAGGCGGAGGTGGGCAAAGGGGGGAACGGGCCTGGAAAGAGACTTGGCTGGGGCGATGGCGCGGTGCAGTGTGCAGACTATGTTTTGTTGAGTTGTACACTTGGAACCTGTATGGTTTTGAGAACCAGTGTCATCCCAATAAATACAAGTAAAAAATAAAAAAGGAAGGAAAGGCAGAAAGGTATACGGGGGACAGAAGGTCTCCCTCCAGCTGTGCTGTTGGATGGAAACAGGAGGGAGGAAAATGACCGAGCTGCCAAGGGAACTCTGCTGTGACCTGAGTTCTCACAGTGTTATCACATCTCTAGGTCCACGCAATGCACATGGGGAAGGGAGGCATCCGAGGTACCCTTGGTTCTTTCTCACACTTGTCCAAGTTTCGAGCTGGCTGCTTAGGAGCCTCAGTTCTCCCTTAAAATAAGCCTAAATTTGTACCTCCTTCTATGCTGCCTTTTTGGTATTCGCCATCCGCGTCTGAGGTCAGGAGCAGCTCCACAATCCCTCTTCTCAGCAGGGCCTATTGAGGAAACTGGACAAGGTGAGCCCGCTCTTCTTTCTCCCTTGGGAAGAAGGCATTTAGGACATAAGCAGAGCAGGGCCCAGGTGGACAGAGTGAGAACGAGAGAAAAGGTTGGAACCGAGAGTCTGACCCCCCGCAGCTCTGTCCCAGTCTGGTGTTTTTCCCGGTGACGCAAAAGCCACAGAGGCTGGGCTCTGACACCCACCCCCGGCCTCAAGGGGAAAGGGCAAGGCTGAATTTATGAGGAAACGCCCTGAGGAAGGCTCTGAACCCTAGAGAAAGAGAAGGAAGGCTGGACAGCTTTGTGCTTGAAGGGAAGAGGGGAGGCCCTAAGGAAGGTCAGAGAAACTTCACAAACTTGGGTCCTACCTGGACACTAGAAGGAAGCGAGCAAGCCCGCCACAGCTTTGGAGAAGAGGGGGCCTAATTAAAAATTCATATTTCCTAAGGGCATAAGAAGCAGACAATGGCCAGAGGGCAAGAGGGCCCTATCTGTGTGTCTTACGTGCTCACTGAGCCACAGCTGGGACTGGGAGCAGAGTTGAGTAGCAAAATTTTAAAATCAAGGAAAAATACTACTGGCCGAATGAGACTGATTAGTGGGGTCTGGTGTGAGGCCCCTGAGAAACGTTAGGGAGGGGATTTCTTGCAGACCTTGAGGCTCCAGAAGCCCCAGGTGGAGGCAGGAGCCCAGCCCCGCCTCCTGCCTCTCTCATCACCTGCTGGCTCTTTCCCGCCCCGCTGGCAACTCGTGCCCCTGCTGCCAGGCATCCCACCCAGAGGTTTCTGAGCGGACCGAGCTGGCATGGGACCCTGCCTCCTGCTCAGCAGACTGGGGAGGGGTCCCATTTAGAGGAGAACTCGTCAGCTTCCTAAATGAGGAGAGTCAGGGACAGGGAGGAGCCCCACGCACCAGCAAGGGCACCAGCAGGACTGCAGTTGTGCCCTGGCCCGGGACATCCCCACAGGCAGGAGCTAAGGAACTGAAGTCATAAGTCGAGCTACAGGCCAGAGAGCTGCCAGGTGACCCCCTTCATCATCAAGTCCATGAAGCATTATTTATTTACTATTCACCAGCCCCTAGCTTTCATGAGAATTGTGGGTCACAGAGATCTTTTGCCATCACATTTGATCTCAGAATAAAGTTCTTTAAGTGCATCTTAATCACCCTGACTAAGCTGCAGATTCAGAGAAAGGGAACTCGACCTCCTGTATTGGAGGAACCCACAGGCCCAAGGAGCCGGCGGCAGGCGTGGCCACCGCGCTGTGACCGCAGTGAGGGAGGCGAGCAGATCAGACACAGCAGGTCCTCTCACCCTCTGAAGATGAGGCATGTACTCTGGGTCCACCGAGAACGCCCCGTATTCGTTCTCCACCTGCACGGCGATGACGGGGCCTCCCTGGCGGTACTGAGACAAGCAGAGAGGGGACAGTGAGCTGCAGGGCTGGAGCTCTGGGTGTGCCGCTAGAGCCAACAGGGCTGGGTGGGGGGACTCTGTGCCCCAGCGGGTGCCTCCCCCGGGGCCCTCTCCCCCCCCCCAGTCACCTGCAGGCCCTTGGGCTGCACAGGGAGTCCTAGTTCCAGTCTTTGTAAAGACAACCACAGCTTTTCCTCCGTTTCTCACACCAATTAGCTGTGTAAGTGTGAGCGTTCAAACCTACAAACTCACCTGCTTCCACACCCGCCCTGTCCACTTTCCGCCCAAGGGAAGAGTCGTCCCTCCTCCCTCCTCCTGCGTAGGGTAATGCCACCTCAAATTCCCGGAGTCCCCTGCCTCCCACCACCAGCCCAGGAGCCCGTTCTCTGCACATCCCCTGTCCCTTCTGTCCTTTCACCTGTCTTTCCAAACCGCCTGACTCCACCTACCTGGAAACTTAGTGCAGAGAGCGAGCTCCAGGACTGTTCCCTCCGCCATTCTCCTGCTCGCTCCATTTTTTCTTTTTTTAGATCTTTATGGCTGTTTCATTTTTAAATTTTTTTTTTCAGTTACAGTTGACATTCAATATTACATTAGTTAAGAGCCCTGCTTCTTGAATGAGGGCCCAGTTGTCCGCACTTTCTCAATTTTACCCAACTCCTCAAACACTGTGCAAAGCTTCCACCTGTCATACCACCCCGCCATTGGCACTGACCTAGTTGTGCTGACATTATAACACTTTTCACGCTGAAGTTCATCTCTCAGCGTCTTTCCACCCTCCAGCCAGCCCTCTGCTCTGGGAGCCTCTCCACGCGGAGGGTGGGGCCAGCTCTGAGGGTGAATGCTGACCCCTTTTCCCCCCAGGCTCCTACTGCCCCTGGGTCAATGCTCACTTCAAAGTGAGGTGTCCCTTTAGGACAAGGGCACACAAGCTCCTGAGGTGGACAGAGGAGAAGGAGCCCATTTGGTGGGCTCTCCTTTGTAGCCTCACCTCCGCACCTCCTGCCTCTCCCCTCCCACTCTATGCTCCAGTCGAGCTGGATGTCCTACTTCTTCAAAGCCCCCATTGTATCCCTTGTCACCTGGTCTCCACCCCCTGGCCTGGCCAACGCCTCCTCCCCCTTCAGGTCACTGTTACTTTTCCCAAAAAACATGCTGGGAGCGTGCCTCTCCCCCACACCCCCGCCTGTGGCAGTGAGCACTCACGTTGTGTTTGTCTGTCTCTCGTCTTGGGCTGTAAACCCCATGGGCCAGGGACCATGTCTGTGCTTTTCACCGCTGGAAGCTTATTTACTACACAGTGCTTGGCACATAGTAGGCACTCAATAATTATTTGTTGGAGGAGTGTGAGTATTCTGAACTGATGAACTGATTGTTTGTATTACTGAAGGGCATCTCCCCGCCTGAGCAGTGAGGTTTCCAATCACCCCGTAGTAGGAGAATTCACAGTTAGCCTTATGACGCAAACAGGATCAGAGGAATAAGCGTCTCCAGCAAAACAGTAAGCACACTTTAAAAATTATTTAAATCTAACAGTTGAAACAGTGGAGATAACCGATCAAACCGAAAGACCTTAAGATACTAGTAATTTAGTAACGATAAGCCCTGTACATTCCATTTGCATGCACAATTCCGTTTCTTAAAACCTCCCTAGGGTTTTCTCACCTCATGATCTCCCTGGATGGTTATCAGTTTGCTTTGCTTGCTGAATCTACGAGTGCTAAGCAGCATCTGCACTTGCTCCTGAACTTCCAGCCAAACATTCAGAGTCTTTCTAGTTTTAAGGGTCAGAGGTTTTTCCTGCCACCAAGTTCCACCTCGACTGCAGAAGTGAAGCCAGAAATGTGAGGCTTCAGCCCCTTCTTACAAAGGTCAAACCCTGGCTCCACTGACCAGACCCAGGCTGAATCGTGGAGACAAGTCTCCCTTCAGCACTGCTCACCTCTCCCGAAGTTGCTCTGCTTTATTTCCATTTCTAACCTCCTGCGTCTTCTCTGTATAATTACCCTAATAAGATAACTCAGACTCACAATTCAGAATTACTTACAAAGGGCTAGATCTGCATATTTTCCCTCAAAAGAAGAGTCTAAGACCTAATAATCCTGGTTTTTATCCCATCTCAAGCTATACCAAGAAATGTTCTTAAATTAACACTTATTTTTAAAATAATAACCATGTGCTCCTCTTGTTGGGGAGAGAGTAATATTTTAAAAATCAAACGCGCCCAGCCAGGCGTGGCTCAGCAGTTGAGCATCGACCATCACGGCCATCGGGGTTCGATTCCCGGTCAGGGCACATGCCCGGGTTGCGGGCTCCATCCCCAGTCGGGGGCGTGCAGGAGGCAGCCGATCAATGACTCTCTCATCATTGATGTTTCTCTCTCTCTCTCTCTCTCTCCTTTCCTCTCTCTGAAATCAATAAAGATATATTTTTTAAAAAAATCAAACACAGGATGGAACCATCGTGGCCTCACAGACGGCAGGGTGTGATGCTCTTTGCTGTCACAGGCTGGTCTGAGCTATAGGTGTACACTGTGGAAATAAAGGCATTTCCTATCGAGTACACAATGTCTGGGCCGCCTGCCCGTGAAGAAGGGAAAACTTGTAGTATCTGTGCTCCCTGCACTGATGAAACTAAAACAAATTGGGATGCAAGTGATAGCAAGTGTACTCACACAGGCACAAAAATGACACCCGTGGGCCAAGCTATTCATCATAACAAACTGGCAAACTCAAATGCCTGGGACAAGGGCACTAGTTAAATGAATCTCCATATATTCATATCATGAAATGCTTTGGAGTCATTAAAAAGAAGGGCAGGTTTCAAAAATATATTCAAGTGACAAAAGAAAAACTTCCAATGAGAACTGTATATTTTTGTATAAAAAAGTACACATACACATGTGTAAGCATGTGCATAAATAATTTGCTTCCATGTGTATAGAAAGTCTATGGAAAGACAGGCAGAAGTCTGGTGAAATTGGTTGTCTCCTGAAAAGGTAACGGAATAGCTTTGGGGAAGGGTAGGAAGGGGGGACTTTATTTACCATAAACTCCTTTGTTCCTTTTCACCAAGTGTGCGTATTAACTGTCTAAAACGGCGAAGATCGTTAGGAGTAGAAATAAGCAGTACGGAGACCAGTGGGCATAGTGAGCTCGAGAACCTTCAAAGCCAGGCAGCCGCACACCCAGGCTCCCCTCGGTCCTGCAGGCGTGCTGTGCGCACCCCAGGAGCCCTGGGGCACAGCTGGACTGAACACCCAGAGAGAGACAGACAGACAGACAGACAGACAGACAGACAGCCTGGGCTCTCAGAGAGCCTGGGCCCGGCCTGCTCTGCCCACCAGTCAGACCAGCTCTGTTCTTGGGGCGAAAGGGAGGGAGGGAGGAGGGAGGGAGCTCTGGTTTCACCTGGAGAGGAACCATTCTGGCAATCAGATGATCAAAATATCGATCGACTGCTTCCACAAAGCCCTTGTGGGTTGTTCTCAGGGTCATCCTGGGGTCCTGCAGTAACCAGCTGGGGGAGAAAGCAGACAAGCTCAGAGTCTGCGGCGGAAGCAGGAGGCGGTGGAGGGGCAGCCAGCGCCTTCCCAGAGCTCCCTCCAGCAGTTTAATCTCCTGATCTCGTAGCCCTCAGGGTTCCTGGAAGATGCTCTCTGGACCATCTCACAGAGCTGTCAGATTTACAGGTGTCGTAGGGACACTTTACGGCTCAGGAGGTGCTACACCTCCATCATGGTCCACACTGCCCCACAATCCCCTACACACCCCTACACACTCACACCCACCCACACACATCCTCACACTCCCACACACACCTGAACACACTCACACACACACCCACACACTCACACACACATACCCCCACCCCCACATCCATACACACTCACACCCCACATCGCCCCCCACACACACACCCTACACATACCCCACACCCC